ACACTTGTGGTGTTTCTGCTGTGTCTGTGGTGGTATTGCACATCAGACACAAAGGCTGTTGATCCATCTAGCTCAGCACTGCTTGCACTGACTGGCAGCAGCTCTCCAGGTAAGGGATCCTTCACAGCCCTGCCTGGAAAGGCCATTGAGGGTTAAATGTGGGCCCCTTTGCATGCAAAGCAGGTGCTTCACCCCTAAGCTGCAGCCCTTCCCTAAAAACAAAGCAAGATTCTAGTCCTCATGGTGCTAAACAAAGGTGGAATCTAGACACATATTAAAAAAACGCTGTGAAAATGCTGTTTTGAAAAAGCGTTTTGAAAAATATATTAAATTTGCCATTGCCCACCATCGCCATCTAGTGTCAAATTTGCATAATGCACTTTTACCACACACTTAAATTGTTTTATTTGCAGCTGTGTAGATGGTTTAAATGGTGGAAGAGAGTTTCCTTTGCTCCTCAGTCAGATGGATGGATCCACCTAGCTCAGCACTGCCTGCACTGGCTGGCAGTGGCTCTCCAGGGTTTCAAGAAAGGGACACTCCCAGCCCTCTCTAGGGACTGAACCTTCTGCATACAAAGCTGCAGCCATTCCTCTAACAATAAACTAAGATTCTAGTCCTCTTGGTCTGCTTTAAATAGGAATGTAGGGATCTGCTTCATACGGAGTCAGACCATTGGTCCATCTAGCTCAGTATTGTCGACACTGACTGGCAGCTGCTCTCTGGGCTTTCAAAACCATGGGGACAGTCCAGCCCTACCTGGTAATGGAGCCCTGGTCCTTCTGCATGCTGGGCAAATGCTTCACCCCGCGGTGCCCAAAGTGGGCAGCAGTGGGATTGCTTAGGGGGCAGTAAGAGGCAAGGGGGCGGCCGAGGGGTGTTGGAGGGGCCCCCCCTCTGAGAGCTGGGATCAGACCCTCGAGTGAAACACCTTCCTCACTTCGCATCTAAAATCTGATTGTCCCTTTCAAACCTGCTTCTTTGGGCCTGGTTCGTTTGCATTTATGATTCTGAGTTTTCCCAAGGCAGCCAATTACCAGGAATAATAATAATAATAATAATAATAATAATAATAATAATAATGAGCCCACTCCAACAAAATATTAAAATACCATAAACATCAAACATTAAAAGCTTCCCTAAACAGGGCGGCGTTCAGATGTCTTCTAAAAGTCTGGTAGTTGTTTTTCTCTTTGACATCTGGTGGGAGGGCATTCCACAGGGCGGGCGCCACTACCGAGAAGGCCCTCTGCCTGGTTCCCTGTAACTTGGCTTCTCGCAGTGAGGGAACCGCCAGAAGGCCCTCGGAGCCCCCAGTGTCTGGGTAGAACGATGGGGGTGGAGATGCTCCTTCAGATATACTGGACCGAGGCCGTTTAGGGCTTTCAAGGTCAGCACCAACACTTTGAATTGTGCTCAGAAACGTACTGGGAGCCAATGTAGGTCTTTTAAGACTGGTGTTATGTGGTCTCGGAGGCTGCTCCCAGTTACCAGTCTAGCTGCCGCATTCTGGATTAGTTGTAGTTTCCGGGTTGCCTTCAAAGGTAGCTCCACGTAGAGCGCATGGCAGTAGTCCACTGGATCACCTGCATCAGTTGGGTTGACTTAACTGAACTAAATAGCTTTCAACTGGATTTGGAATCAATGGGTGATAGAGGGTTCCTGTTTCGAATTTTACCTTCTTTAGTGGGTCGTGCTAATTGCTGTTCTGAATAACGCTTTTCACAGGGCAGGGGATGGGTTTTCAGAAACAAGGGGGCAGTGGCTGGGCGAGAGGGTTGGACTAGGATCTGGGAGGGGCCAGTGGGGGCTTTCCTAGCCCTGCCTGCAGATTGAACCCTGGGCCTTCTGCATTCAAGGCAGGTGTCCCCCACCATTGCACCATAGCTTAGAGATGACAGAGGTGAGTTATGGCCACCTGCCATGGATGCTTTAGTTGACATTCCTGCATTGCAGGGGGGTTGGGCTGGATGACCTTTGGGGACCCCCTTCCAACTCGACAATTCCATGATCCTCCCCCCAGCTAGTGGGGTGAAGCGGTTGGGATCCTAACGGGCAGGGGGATCCCTAGAGCCTTGCCTGGGGTTTCCTCCGAAGAAGCACCTGCCTCTCTTCCCCGCCTGCCATGCTGTGCACCTTGCCAAATTGGTACTTGTTTTACCAGCCGCACGATAAGGATCAGGCCTGGAGCGGAGGGAGGGAAAGGGCGTGTGCCCAGGCCGTTCCCTGAGATGCTCAGAGCTGCAGTTCCCGAACGAGGCGGGATCCCCATGCAAATCCTCCGCGGAGGGAGTCGTAAGCCTGAGACCGAAGGCAGCCGCAAAATGGGCAGCTGTGTCTGTTTTAAATTTAAAATATAGGCAGAACCAGTGCTTTTTTCTGGGGGGACGCAGGGGTATGCACCCCCCTAAACATTTTGTGAAACTATGCACTTTTGTCCATTTACTGTATTTATTTCCCCTGATTTGAACTATAAAATGATTTATTTATTTTAGTCAAAATGAGAGTACTCCTAAACATTTTTTTTAAGAAAAAAAACAAGCACTGGGCAGAGCTGTGAAAAAAATATGTAAAATATGAGAACAAAAAGAAGATGGCCCATCTTTTCTGAATTTTGCAAAAGTAGTTTTTGAATTTTTTTTAAAAAGTGTATAAAAGTGCATGCATTCAAGGGAAACAAGGTGCAAACACACATTAAATTAGGGAGGATGACTTTGGGAGGGGGAATGAATATATTGAATAAACCTGCCTACAGAAATGCATAGATCAGCAGAGAGGCGTACAAAAGTTTGTGCGAATTTTCATGCAAACTCGGTTTAAAATATTGCAAACTAATAAAGGAAAGAGGTGAGAAGTGAACTTTAAGGATGGTCAACTCAGAAACGGAGCACAAGCAGAGGATAGTGTCATGGAGTTGAGAACCTAAGAGCCCGCTGGATCAGGCCCAAGGCCCACCAGGGCCAGCCAGGAGCCCACAAGCTGGTGAACAAGGCAGCAAGCACTGGGGCCCACCAGTCTACCTTGGCCTTAAGAAGCTCAGGTGAAATATTGTCCGCACCAGGAGCTTTGCCAGGTTTAAGAGACTGAATGAGCCTGCAAGCTTCTTCAGCTGACGCCGGGGGCCACTCAGCACCAGGATCACTTAGAGGTCAGGACAGAGCCTGGAGATGCTGGTTAGTTGTGTATAAGGATTGGAAGTATGACTCCCAAACCCCAACAGAGATGGTATATTCCCCTTTGGAGGGGGAATCTTGCCAACCTTTTGCAACTATTTTCCAAAGGTGACTGCGTCTCTCCTTCGAGAGGCCTCTATTAAATATTGCCCCTCTTCCCGTTGGGCCTGAAGCTTTTTCTTTTTGATCAAAGCTTTATAATTTCGTTCACCTTCAAGCCACTCTGCAGGGAGTAGACTGGCAGACCTCTAGTTCCTGTATTTTCCCAACAAAGAGTGCTTCATAGCGAGGCATTCCGATGGAACCAGGGTTTGGATTTGTTGGAGTATAATGGTCGTCCGCATGGGAAAGAGGCAAGCAGGATTCAAACCCAAGAGCCCTCACCTCTCCTTTGGCTTCCAGCAGCTGGGATTCAGAAGCATCGCTGCCTCCAGCTGGGGAGTCACAGCAGAGCCATTCTGGCTGTTGTTGTTGTTGTTGAGTCGTTTAGTCGTGTCCGACTCTTCGTGACCCCCTGGACCAGAGCACGCCAGGCACTCCTGTCTTCCACTGCCTCCCACAGTTTGGTCAAACTCATGCTGGTAGCTTCAAGAACACTGTCCCACCATCTCGTCCTCTGTCGTCCCCTTCTCCTTGTGCCCTCCATCTTTCCCAACATCAGGGTCTTTTCCAGGGAGTCTTCTCTTCTCCTGAGGTGGCCAAAGTCTTGGAGTCTCAGCTTCAGGATCTGTCCTTCCAGTGAGCACTCAGGGCTGATTTCCTTCAGAATGGAGAGGTTTGATCTTCTTGCAGTCCATGGGACTCTCCAGAGTCTCCTCCAGCACCAGAATTCAAAAGCATCCATTCTTCGGCGATCAGCCTTCTTGATGGTCCAGCTCTCACTTCCATACATCACTACTGGGAAAACCATAGCTTGAACTACACGGACCTTTGTTGGCAAGGTAACCCCTCTCCATCCATCAATTTGTCCCATCCTCTTTTAAAGCTATTCGAGTTGTTGGCTGTCACTGCCTCCTGGGCGAGCGAGGTCCATGCAGCAGTGATGTAGTGGTTAGAGGGCCAGATTAGTACCTGAGAGACCAGGGTTCAAATCTCCACTCGGCCATGTGGCTTCCGCTGGAGGACGTGGGCCAGTCACAGCCTCTTGCTTTCTCAGCATAATTAAATTTCTCAGCATAATTAAACTTGTATCCCCCACCCTCTCTTTCCCCCCTATTACGTTTTTACTGTCATTTTATTAGGGTTAGCCGCCTTGAGCCCGGCTCTGGCAGGGGAGGGCGTGGTATAAATAAAATTATTTATTATTATTATTATTATTATTATTATTATTATTATTATTATTATTAATCTCCCTCGCAGGGTTGTTGTGGGAGGAGGCAAATCACATATGCCACCCTGAGCTCCGTGGAGGAAAGATGGGCTATGAATGTAATGAAATGCATAACTCTTAGTGCCAGATTTACGTATAAGCTAAACACACTATAGCTTAAGGCCCCACTCTCTTGGGGCCCCCCCAAAAAAAAATTAAAGGAAAAAAACCCTGGATGTTCATTTCCAATATAAAATAAAATAAAATAAAACCTACATACAGCAACAGTGTTTTGTGTTGTGTAGGCTCCTGTGATGTAAGTCATGGGTCCCGCCTGCTCCCTAAAATATCCCTGGTTTGCTCATTTCTATATATAGGGTGCCGACATTCTGCATGGACTGCTTGCATGGCAACAACATGTGCAAATGGCTTTAGATACCTACTAGGTCCACTAATTATCATACAGCATATATTCAACACAAAAAACAGTGACAATTTGTTGTTGACAAAGGACAGCTGGACATATAAAGGGCCCCATTACCTTCAGTAACTTGGGGCTTTGTCAAACCTAAATCCGGCCCTGATAACCATAGATAAGACCCAGTGCCAGAGCTTGCTTTTTTCCTCTTCCCTCCGGACGCTCTTTCCTTCTGTGCTGGGTCTCTAAAACTTGAGCTCGGCGACTCTGTTATCACTGATATTTGTGAGGTACTATGGATTATTATTTTTTAGCCTGGAGTGAGGTAAAAGCGCTTTAAATAGACTCTGTGTATGTGTGTGACTGGGTGTGATCCACAGATGCCCTTAAACTCATGAGAACAACCACAATACAGTTTTGGCCCACACTTTCTTTATTGCACAAAAGAGCTGTTGTGCTTTTCCTGGGGGCCTGGAAGCCCCGACCTCCTTGGAAGATGGGAGGCACCAACGGGGCACAGAGCCCACGGTGCCCAGCGGCTGGTGGGGGTCACAAGGAGGTTGGGGGGGTGTCTTGGCTCTGCCTGCCCGCTGTTGCGGCTCACGCAGAACTACTCAGCAGCAACCTGTAAAAAAGACCAGTGGCAGAAAGACACGCCCAGACACGCCGGCGCGCTGCGTCTGATGAAACGACCCTGCATCTCAGGGGTTGGACTAAATGACCTTTGGGGGGCCCTCCCTCCTCAACAATTCCATGACCTCAGGAGGGAACAGACTCTCCTTCTCTGGAGGCTTTTAAACAGAAGTTGGACGGGCGCCTGCCAGGGATTCTTGAGAAGCGATTCCTGGATTGCAGGGGGCTGGACTAGATGGCCTCTGGGTGTCCCCCTCCCAACTTTACGATCCTGTGGTGTGTTGCCCAGGGTAGATGGTGCTGGGTGGAGATCTGGGAGGGGGCCATTTCTTTCCTGCCCCACAACGCTGGGTCTGTGAGGTGAGGTGCCCCACTGCTAAGCCCCACAAGGGTGCTAAAACTGGGGCAGAAGAAATCCCAGCGAGGGAGGGAGGGGAGCCTCGGCCACAGCTGCTGCCGGCTTGGGAAGGCTGCGTTTGCGCCTCCACGGCCCCCCAAGCAAGCCGGCCCCTCGGCAGAGCGTAGGAGTTGCCGCTCGAGGATCCGAAGCGCGTTTGCGAGAGAGTCGCTTCCCCAGGCTCAGCATTGACCTGCGGTGCCGTTTGCCCAACTTGGGAAATTGTGGAGGTCAAAGATGGGGAAGCCCCAGGTGTTGATGGCCAGGGTGATGGTCAAGACCCCCAGTAAGTTCAGCATGCAGCCGGCTTTGACCTGAGGACACAAGGAGAGGAGGTCAGGATGCCAGAAGAGCGCTTCTCCCATAGATTTGTAGTGGTAGACTAGCATAGATGGTCTGATCTGCAGGCTTACTTTAGGCGCTATTTCCCCCCCCCCTTTCCTCCCGCCCCGCCTGATGGAACTGAGAGGTGCAGATGGAGCACAAGAGAAAAGATACAGAACTGCAGCAGCATCTTCATAACTTGGACTTCGTTTTGTGCGAAAATTGGTTGCTGCTTTTAGTTATTTAACTGTAGTGTTTCATCAGCTGGTGTCTTGAGCAGCAACCTCTGGAAACGAAGGGCTAAAAACCGGCGCTGCTCTCCAAAATTATCTGGTCCCTTTTACTTTGTATTTCAGCTGGTTGAATAAAATCCCTTATTTTGGCTGCTGATCCCTTATTTTTGAGGCTGCTGGTCCCTTATTTTCAAATCTGTAACTTGACAGCTATGGTTCTGCTCGTCAGTGTTTCAGGAAAGGGGCCTTCTGAACCTGCTCCATAGATACTGGGGATTGAAGCAAGGACCTTCTGCATGCCAAGCAGGGGCTCTATCCCTCTTGCCCCAAGAAAGAGCAGCCGTCCTAGATGTGCCTTGAGATATCACTGTACTTCCTCCACCTTCCTCTTCGCAGGAAGATGGGGGGCAAAGCTGGAATGAGTTGGCTCCGCCTCTCCTTGGCCTTGGCTCCACCCACTGCTGGCCTGTGCCGTCCTCCCCACCAGTCCGAATAGGCAACCAGGCGCCACTGCAGGAGGGGCCATTAGAGGGTGATGGAGTGGACAACCACCCATCTCTTTCTGCCACCCCCTGCCCAGGGAAGCTTCATTGGATGGGCAGAGCCTGAGGTGATGACACTGGCTTTGCGGCGGCTGGACTAGATGACCCCAGAGGGTCCCTTCCAACCCTTCACGGCCTAGGACCCTCGTACCTACGGGACCGCCTCTCCTGGTATGCCCCACGGAGAGCCTCAAGGTCCATAAATAGCAACACCCTAGTGGTCCCAGGCCCTAAGGAAGTCAGACTAGCCTCAACCAGAGGCAGGGCCTTTTCAGTACTGGCCCCGGCCTGGTGGAACGCTCTGTCTCGTGAGACCAGGGCCCTGCAAGATCTGATTTCTTTCCGCAGGGCCTGTAAGGCAGAGTTGTTCCGCCTGGCCTTTGGCTTGGAATCAACTTGATCCTCTTCCCCTTTTTCCTTCTGTGGAGGAACTCCTATTTGGGGATTTCCCTGGCTTTTTCTGGCCCATGTAGGACCAGTCTGGATAGTTAGCCTTGGTGAAGATTTGATGTTTTCATCCCTAAAAAGTTTTTTTATTTGAGTTTCCACTGAAATGAGGCTGCATTTTAATGTTTTAATGTTGTCTTTTAATCTTGTTTTTAAGTTGTATTTCAATCAATTTGTTTTATATCTGGTGTTAGCTGCCCTGAGCCCGGTCTTGGCTGGGGAGGGCGGGGTATAAATAATTTATTATTATTATTATTATTACTATTACAACGGCGTGACACTCACTCACCATGTCTATGACGTGCAGCTGCCCGTAGGAGAAGACGATGGCGTTGGGAGGGGTGGCCACCGGGAGCATGAAGGCCAGCGAGGCGGAGAGGGTGCAAGGCAGCATCACGTAGAGGGGGTTGAGGCAGATGGCCTGAGACTGGGGGCGACAAAAGGCAGGAGGAGATGGGGGGGTGTCTGGCTGGATCAGGCCAAAGGGGGCCCAAGAAATCCACAAGCAACAGGAACTCTCCAGCTGTCATTCCCCATTGCCTGAGATTCAGAGGTAGACTGTCCCTGGGCATGGAGGTTCTGCTATCACAAGAGACTTCCATAAAGAACTGGATCAGGCCCTAAAGGACCCGTCTAGTCCAGCCTCCTGTCCTCACAGGGGCCGAGCAGATGCCCCAACAGGAAACCCACAAGCAGTATCCGAGCAATTCTTCCCTCTTGTGGCCTCTAGACACTGGCATTCAGAAGCATTGTGGCCTCCAGCTACGGAGGCACAGCGCAGCCCCTGTGGCCACCCATAGTTCTCTCCTCCTCTGCGAATGTCTCCAACCCTCTTTGGAACCCCTCCAAGTGGGAGGGAGTTCCGCAGGCTAACCCCTTTTTGCTGCGCAAACGAGCCCTTCCTTTTTGCCATGCTTACCATGGAAGCCAGGATGGGCAGGAAGAGCGTGGTGGTGGCCACGTTGCTGGTGCATTCGGTGAAGAGGGCAACCAGCAGACAGAGCACAAAGGCGATGGCCGGGTGAGGGATGGTCTCCAGGGGGGTCAGCTTGCTCCCCAGCCATTTGGACAGACCAGACGCCTGGAAGGGAAAAGGACAAGGGGGTGTGTCATTGATGGAGGACCAGACAGAGGGGCACAGATCCTGGCTTCTCGCACAAGCGCGGCTCCCCGACTCCGCTTCAGCTGAGATTCCTGTATGGGCAGGACTAGACCCTGTAGTGATGTATGGAAGTGAGAGCTGGACCATGAAGAAGGCTGATCGCCGAAGAATTGATGCTTTTGAATTCTGGTACTGGAGGAGACTCTGGAGAGTCCCATGGACTGGAAGAAGATCCAACCTCTCCATTCTGAAGGAAATCAGCCCTGAGTGCTCACTGGAAGGTCAGATCCTGAAGCTGAGGCTCCAAGACTTTGGCCACCTCATGAGAAGAGAAGACTCCCTGGAAAAGACCCTGATGTTGGGAAAGATGGAGGGCACAAGGAGAAGGTGAGGACAGAGGACGAGATGGTGGGACAGTGTTCTCCAAGCTCCCAGCATGAGTTTGACCAAACTGTGGGAGGCAGTGGAAGACAGGAGTGCCTGGCGTGTTCTGGTCCATGGGGTCAAGAAGAGTCGGACACAACTAAACGACTAAACAACAAGACCCTGGAGGTCCCTTCCAACTCTCCTGTTCTATCATTTTTATTTCTTATTCTTATTTCTTAACCACCCATCATGAGAAGGTTCTGCGGTGTCTTGCAGTAATTAAAAAAACCCGCAGCATTAAAAAGACTTTGGAGCAACCTGCAGCCCCAAGTATAGGGTGGGCTCCTAAAATAATATTGTTGCAGCTGAGCTTCCCAGGGAATAATAGAGCAGCCACGTCATTCATCCCTTGAATGGCAGCTCGTGCCAGTTCAGCGCTGCTTGGGTGCCCCCTAGTGCTCTGGATGAGTCATTGCTGATGTTGATCTGAGTCAGGTCACTCACCCATCTCGGTGGGACCTCGTGGGAAAGTGAGAGACGGTGGCGGTGTAGTGGTTAGAGCATCAGGCTAGGAACTAGGGAGAGATCAGGGTGCAAATCCCCCACTTGGATATAAAGCTCACTGAGTCCCTCTCCCGCTCACCCTAACCTACCTCACTGGGTGTTGTGGAGATTAAGTGAGGGGGGAGGAGGAAAAAACCACCATCATCATCAGTGCTTTTTCTCTTAAAAAATGTTTAGGGGTACTCTCATTTTGACTCAAGAAAATCACCATTTTATAGTTCAAATCGGGAAAAATAAATACAGTGGTACCTTGGTTTGCAACCGTTTTGGATTACAACCACGTCAAACCCTGAAGTGTGTGTCCCTTTCTTTATTATTGCAACCCTTTTTTATTATTATTACAACAACTTTTTTTCGGAGGCCCTATTGGCGAAAGCGCACCTTGGGTTACAGCCTGTTTTGGTTTACAACCAGACCTCCGGAACAGATTATGGTTGTAAACCAAGGTATCACTGTACAATAAACAGATAAAAGTACAAAGGTTCGCAAAATGTTTAGGGGTATGCGTACCCCTGTGTCTCCCCAGAAAAAAAGCAACAACAACAACAACAGATCCTGAAGCTGAGGCTCCAAGACTTTGGCCACCTCAGGAGAAGAGAAGACTCCCTGGAAAAGACCCTGATGTTGGGACAGATGGAGGGCACAAGGAGAAGGGGGCAACAGGGGACGAGATGGTGGGACAGTGTTCTGGAAGCTACCAGCATGACAAACTGTGGGAGGCAGTGGAAGACAGGAGGGCCTGGTGTGCTCTGGTCCAGGGGGTCACGAAGAGGCGGACACGACAAACCGACTAAACAACAACAACAACAATAGCAGCAGCCCAAGGGGGATCACCTCACTGCCTTTGGCCAAGGCAAAGCCTCCTCCCAAGAGGATGACGATGTTCCAGGGCATCTTCTGATTAACGGTTGGCCAGTCCAGGAGGGCCGGGGTCACCCGGATCTGCCCTGCAATGCAAAGGGTCTGTGAGCCCCTGGGGCTGGACTAGATGGCCTTTGGGGGGTCCCTCCCACCTCTGCAATTCTGTGAACCACTTGCAGGTTAGGGGGCAGCATTGCTCACCTCCTGGTGGGGTGCGGCTCCGGAAGCCGCATCTGGGCACCTCCGAGGGGATGAGGAACAGCAGCATCGAAATGAAGATGACGACCGTGGCATCAGTGGCGTAGCTGCGGGGAAAGGATGGGCATCGCAGGCAAGGATCAGAAGACGAGTCTGGCTGAGGCCGAATCGGGCCAGAGGGAGCCCATCTAGCCCAGCCCTCTACTCTCACAGTGGTCAAATGCCCCATAGAACCTGGGGGACCAGATAGACTGCCTCTGGAGCTGGAGGTTCTATAAAAAGAGCCTAGCTGCAAAAGGACCCCCTCTAGCCCAGTTTCCTGCTCTCACTGTAGCCAACCAGGTGCCCCCAAGGGAAACCCACAAGCAGGCAGGACATTTCCAGGCCAGGGCAGGAAGGAGCAGGGAAGGTGTTGCCCCTCTCTCACCTCTTCCCGTCCCAGGTGAAGGCGGCACTCGCCCATCCCGGCATGAAGCCTGGCTCCCGGGTGAACCAGAGGAGCACCAGGATGATGAAGAGAACCAGGACGGTGATTTCGGAGAACTTCATGGGCCCCAGCGCCTGGTGCTGGTTCTTGATGATGCGGTAGGCCATCCGAGAGCCTGCCTTCTCCGAATCGTTGGTGCCGCACCCAAAGTTCTTCCGGAAGCTGGAAAGGGAGAGAGAAATAAGATGGGGGCAGGTTGTGGTTCCCCTGGGGGGCAAAACCCATTTAAGAGGGGCCGGTCCCTGCTTCTGGGTCCAGCTCCATCCCTAGAGACTCGGGGAGCCTCTGCGGCCAGAAGTGCCTTTGACCAAGCGCAGCTCCGGCCACAAAAAAATTGCCACAGTCCTTGGATTGCTGCAATGCGCTCCATGTAGGACTCTCCTCGAGCTCAATCCGGAAGCTGCAGTTAGTGCTGGATGCTGCAGCATAATTGCTGATGGCAGTGAGATTTGAGATCTGCACAGGCTGCGCATCATGGACCAAGTTCAAGGTGTTCCTATTTGGGTGCAAACCCTTTTCACAACTTGGGGCCAGTTGACCTGAACCCATGTACTCCCGTTTGGCCGCTTCAATCTGCGTTGTGATTCGGGCCACATAATTCCCTGTTCCGCATTTGAAATAAGTTGCCCTTTTAGTGTGGCTGCACTTTGGAACTCCCTGCCTATTGATATCCAGCAGACGTCTTCACTGTACATTTTCGGTTCCTGTTCAAGACAATTTCATTTAGAAGCCTGTCCAGATGCTTAGAAATCTGACATAAGTTTTAATCTGCTTTTAGTCTATTGTTACTTTCACTTATTGAAAGTTTTAGGTGAATCTTGAGGTTTTCTTTTGCTATCAAGCAGAGTATAAATTTTATGAGAGCACTGAGATGATAGATGATAGATAGATGATAGATAGATAGATAGATAGATGATAGATAGATAGATGATACATAGATAGATGATAGATAGATGATAGATAGATGATAGATTGATAGATAGATGATAGATAGATAGATAGATAGATAGATAGATAGATAGATAGATAGATAGATAGATGATAGATAGCCATGAGCTGGTGTATGGCTGGCAGAGCTTAATGTCTCTCCAACACCGAGTATCGCAAAATGCCTTGTGACCAGTCCCTAAAAGAAGACCTAGCCAGCTGGGCAGAGTGGGTGTCACTGGGCCAAACATATGGACCTCAGCAGCTACCTTAGACCCACTCAGACTCTTTGCTCACTTAGCCTTGCATTGACTGCTCTGGCTGGCAGCAGCTCCTTGGGGGCCTCAGACTCACCCCCTACCCCAACCCGACTTAGGATCACAGGAAATTGCCTTACACCAGCTGCACTGCAAAAGTCCGTAGCTGAGGGACAGAGCCCCTGTATTGCATGCAGAAGGCTCAACCTCCGACGTCATCTCTGCGTAGGGCCGGGAGAGACTCCCTAGCCTGAAACTCTGGCAAGCCACAGCTGCCAGTCAGTGCAGGCAGCCCTGAGGTCAATGGGCCCATGGTCTGACTCTGCATAAGGCATAAGGACTAGAACTTTGCCTGCTTTTTTACATGCTGGTCTTGGGTGGAGAGACAGGAGTGACCCTCTTCCATGTGGGTCTCTCCTGTGTTGCAGGAATTTATGTATAGGTTGGGGGGGGGTTGCCCCTCCAGCAGATATCACGCACATGCAGCCCACTACCAAAATCAGCACAATCACTTTTGTGACTTTTGTGATTTGTCCCCACAAAACACTTCATCACAGTTCCTTCCTATCTATTCAAAGGGCCTTTGCGGCACGACACCAAAGGTACGAATTCACTGATAAATGTATCTATGTACTGGCTCACTGGGAAAATTTCAGAAATTCATATAGACAGGTGAGCTCAGCTACTCAGCAGCCCCTCTGCCTGAGGGATAATCCCTGGCATCCTGATACCCGAGTGCCAGAGAGGTAGCCATTCCAGAAAGAACAAACCCAGATGAAGACAAAAGGGTGGGATTAACTTGGCTGGGAAACAGGGAAATGTAAAGATCTCTTTTGTTCCACTTGATGGGTGTTTGGTGGAGGGCAAGGGGAACCATGGGGCAGGGTCCAGGATGCTCAGATTGCTGCCACCAGACCTCCCCTTTCATGATGTAACGTGATGTATGAGTGATGTAGTTTGGGGGGGGTGTAACATGGGGATTAGCAGCTAATAACAGTTTGGGGGCTCTTTTGCTTGGGGCTTCCATCTTGTTCCACCTGGTGGCAGGTGGGAGTCCTGTCGTGACAGTCTTCAATCAAGACCAAGCCGACTGGCTGCTGTTTTGCTCTGGTATTCCTGGCTGGTGTCCTTGTTTTTTGTCCAAGGGAGCCCTCAGATTCCTCCGTTAACACCTGCACTAGTCTCCCACCCACCTTCCCACCGCATTATCACCCGTGGGTCTCGACTTACTCCATGCCCAGGAACAGCAGCAGCAGCCAGACCCAGGAGAGGATCAGCAGGAGCACCATGGTGGGGAAGGCGAAGCTGAACCACGAGGCAAAGTTGACCACGTTGCCGTTGTCGGGGAAGAGGCTGGCGAGGAGAAAGGGGAGCCGTGAAATGCAAGCGGCGTTGGCTTGGAGGTGGGTCTGCGGTGCATGTCGTTAACCCCGTGCATTTAAATTATTGCACACTTTCCCCCTCCCCGCGGTGGGTGCATTTTGTTCAGTTGCCGAATCACGTCGCAAAATATGGAGGAATAATGGCACAGTCGATTTGGAAGGAATCCCATGGGTGATCTCGCCCAGTCCCCACAACGCAGGAATCGCAGTTAATAAAACTGTACGCTGCTTTGATACTTCGTGATGGGGCAGTGTAGAAAACAATTCTATACATGGAAAGAATCGCAGCTAAAGATTCCCTGACAGGCGATTATCCAACCTCTCTTTAACCAAACCAATGCAACCATGTGAAGAAGAACGAGAAGCTGAAATGGACAGAGTCTCATCCATCCCTGGTTCTGAGTCCGGGACTCTTCCTTCTCCTTATGAGTGTAGCTCAAGCAGAGAACAAATGGGGGTCATAGAATCGGAAGGAACCCCCTCGCCACAAGAGGTGCTGGTCTTGACCTTTAAAGCCCTTTGTGGCTTAGGGCCCTCGTATCTGCAGGACCGCCTCTCCTGGTCCATAGCTGTCAACTTACAGATTTGAAAATAAGGAACCAGCAGCCTCAAAAATAAGGGATCAGCAGCCAAAATAAGGGATTTTCCGGGCACAGGTATGTTCGACTTCTGAGCCCCTCCGAGCCAAAGGCAGAAAGCCCAGCCAGCAGCCAAACGAAGCCTCAAGCGGTGGTTCCCACAGCGCAGCAACCCGGCAAAGGGGATGCAGCAAGGGAAACCACCGTCACCTCTCCGCTGGGAAGCGCTGAGCAAAGGTGAGTCCCCAGGCAACGCGGCTGATTTGATTGGCACAAGGCATGCAAGCTCCACCCCCCAGTCGTTCTTAGACTCCTCATTGGGTGAGCAATGCATCCAAGCAACACAGTTGGAGCCTCCCTCCTAGCTGGCCGGCAGGGAGGGAGGGAGAGGAGCTGCTTCCTTTGAAACCCGGGAAATTTAAGGGACATCATCAATAAGGGACAGCAGCGGGACACGGCGCTGGGATAAGGGACTTTCCCGCCAAATAAGGGACGATTGACAGCTATGTTCTCTTCTGCCCCGCAGAGGACCTTAAGGTCCATGAACAACCATAGTTTAGAGGTCCCGGGCCCTAAGGAAGCCAGACTATCCTCGGCCAGGGCCAGGGCCAGAGCCTGACTCGGTACTCACTCGTCCATCTGCCCCTTCATCACCAGGTTGGGCGTGGTCCCCGTCAGGGTGGCGATTCCCCCAATGCTGGCCGCGTAACACACCGCAAGGCTCATTCCTTTGCACAGGGTCAGGTGCTTCTTCTCCAGCTGCTGCTGTTCCTGGGACACTTTCTCCTTCTCCACAGTCACGACGTGTCCGTTCACTGCGGGAGGCGAGAGAGGGCTTGGTGAGGGGCAGTAAGGCTGGCCCAAGCAAGGTTGGGGGAGAGGCAGCGGTAGCCTAGTGGTTGGAGCACTGGGTGAGGACCTTGTTTCTTCATTTACCGGTAACCCTTTTACATTGTTTTGTATGATTTGTGGTATTTTATGTATTGAGATTTTGTGCTATTTTTATCGATGATAGATGAGTAATTTTTTATTGTAATTGGTAAGTGTAAACGGTGCAATTATTACTTACTGATGTTTCATTTTAGTGTTTACTATGGGATTCTAATGCATATTGCTTTATTTGGTATAAGTTGTTTATTTTAAAATTATCGTGACTTTTTATATAGGATCTGATTGTTACTCTTAATGTTTGATTTTTAGTGTGTGTGTGTGTGTGTGTGTGTGTGTGTGTGTGTTGGAAGCCACCCAGAGTGGCTGGAGCAACCCAGCCAGACGGGCAGGGTATATAATAATAATAATAATAATAATAATAATAATAATAATAATTTTATTTTTTTATTTACTTACTTACTTACTTACTTACTTATACTCCGCCCATCCGGCTGGGTTTCCCCAGCCACTCTGGGCAGCTCCCAACAGAATATTAAAATACAGTGGTACCTCGGGTTAAGTACTTAATTTTCTTAACCTGAAACTGTTCTTAACCTGAAGCACCACTTTAGCTAATGGGGCCTCCTGCTGCTGCCGCGCCGCCGGAGCACAATTTCTGTTCTCATCCTGAAGCAAAGTTCTTAACCTGAAGCACTATTTCTGGGTTAGCGGAGTCTGTAACCTGAAGCGTCTGTAACCTGAGGTACCACTGTACCTGTTAAACATTAAAAGCTTCCCTAAACAGCAATGCTTCCGGATGCGAATTGCTGGAAACCCCAGGAGAGGAGGGGGCTCTTGGGCTCAGATTCTGCTTGGGGCTCTCTTTTGGTTGGTCCCTGTGAGAAGAGGAGGCTGGACTAGAGAGGCCCCCTATGGCCCAATCCAGCTCTTCTTACAGAGCTCCATTGCAATAGCAGAGCCTCCATGCCCAGGAACAGTCTACCTCTGAATACCAGACAATGGGGAGCGACAACTGGACAGCACCGGATGCCGGCCTAGATGTTCCCCCTTTGGCCTGATCCTTCTCCGGGGCTCTTCTGACGTCCTTCCGGTGGCTTCAGAGGAAGGAGGGCTGAGTGACGGTCCTGAACCCGAACCTACCTTGCTGGTGGACGGTCTCCTGCAGCTCAAAGCCTCCGTTGACGGTCCCCTTCTTGGCCACGGCCTCCTTGGCCTGCAGCCGCTCCAGCTCGGATCTGTGCAGCTGCTCCAGGACGGCCTGGGCGATGGGGACCATCATGGCGGTGGTGGCCGTGTTGCTGATCCACATGGAGAGGAAGGCGGTGACGCCCATGAAGCCCATCAGGAGCCTGTGTGATAGGAATTTGGAGGTCTTAGGTAGATGTTAAGTGTTCATAAGTGTACCAACCAAGCACGTACATAGATCAGCACAGGAAGACCCACCTGGAACCATTTTTTATTCCCAAACTGTCCCAAACTGACCAAATGTTTTCTCTGCAAGGTCAAAGTGGAAAAGCCTCCCCATTGTCTTTTCCTTCACAAATCCTGTCTTAAGGGTATGTCTGTGTTTGAATAGTGTGTGAGCCTGTGACCTGGCCCAGGAACAAAGTATTTATCATTACAAAAGACTGGCCTGGCTCCCCAATCAAGTGACCATTAACAGGTGGTCTGCCAGACAGGAGATAAACAACGCACTCAGATTTCTGTTGTAGACCACCCTTTCTGTGATGTATCTGGGGGGTGGTCTTGAGGTACACCCCTTTCTGTGATGTAGGTATGATGTATGGAGGGGTGGTCTTGAGCTCCAGGGCAGGCAATTTAAAATGTCCATATAAGGCCTTGCGCGCCATTGTTCTGGGATTCCTCCTCTCTCCTGCGGGTGAGGGGAGCACCCTGTTGCAAACAGATCAGGCTTAGTAGCTGCTTTGCTTCTCAATATTCTCTGTTATTTTCTCTGACCAATAGGGAACCTACGTAAGGACTCTATATGGGCTCTTGGATACCCCATAAGGGAAAAGGGCAATTTTTGTTTACAACATCTGCCATGGATGGAGACTGCGCCTGAGACGGGGTGGGCAGGAGGCTGGCACTCAGCTTCTCTTGCTCCCAGAGCAAGGCGGCTCAGCACTCCTTGGAGATGCTGGAGGGTGGAGGCCAAGGGGCCGCCTGCCATGGCCCTTAAGTGTCGGGCTTTGGAGAAATGGCTCCCTCCCCAGCTTTGGCCGTGCATCAGCAGAACAAAGCCATTAGAGTCTGTTGCAGGAATTTATGTATAGGTTGGGGGGGGGTTTGCCCCTCCAGCAGATATCATGCACATGCAGCCCACTACCAAAACCAGCACAATCGCCTTTTGTGACTTTTGTGATTTGTCCCCACAAAACACTTCATCACAGTTCCTTCCTTTCTATTCAAAGGGCCTTTGCAGCACGATACCAAATGTACGAATTCACTGATAAATGTATCTGTGTACTGGCTCACTGGGAAAACTTCAGAAATTCATATAGACAGGTGAGCTCAGCTACCTCAGCAGCCCCTCTGCCTGAGGGATAATCCCTGGATAATCGCTGATTCCCGGAGTGTCCGCAGGCCGCATTTAGAAGGCAATTGGGTCGCATCCGGCCCCCAGGCCTTAGTTTGCCTACCCATGCTCTAAATCTATGCTGCTCCACTGTTCCTGGGCAGCTTCAGGATCCTGGTCAGGAGCAAAAAGTGGGGGAGTTTCCCACCATTCCTCATCAGAGCTGTAATCCTCAGTCTGGTCTCTGACATTAAGAATAAAGCAAGGTGCCAGTCCTCATGGCTCTGAATTAAGAGCCAGTTTAAAGAGAACTTGGGAACTTGGCCCAGCCAGCTCAGTGTTGTCTGCACTGGCTGGCAGCAAACACTCCAAGGAGCTTTTCTACCTGGGGAGGATGGGGGTTGACCCTGGACCTTCTGCATGCAAAGCAGCTGCTCTGCCACCGAGCTATGGAGCAGAGGGAGCTGCCTTATGCCGAGTCAGCCCAACTAGCTTGGGGTTTCTTGCACTGACTGGCAGCAGCTCTCCAGGGTTTTGGACTGGGAGGCCGGAGATGCTACTAGGGATCGGACCAGGGGCCTTCTGCATTCAAAGCAGCTGCTCTCCTGCTGAGCCACAGCTCTTCCCATACAAGAAAGGCAAAATTCCATTCCTCGTGGATCTGAACTCAGGGCTGATTTAAATAGGGAGGAAACTGCCTTATGCTGAGTCAGGCATGGTGCTTCTTGCACTGGCTGGCAGCAGCTCTTCAGGGACTTAGAGGCAGGGGCGATTTCTCCCGACCCGAGATGGTGACGCCACTAGGGATTGAACCATGCAAAGCAGGTGGGGTGCCCTGACTCTGGGCCGCCTCCAGAGCCTGCCCCCCCCATTCCCTCTCCCCAGGCGGAGCAACTCACAGGCCTGGCCGGACCCCGATGAGCAGCAGGACGCGGAGGGCGATGCGCTTGTGCAGGTTCCAGTGCTCCACCGCGATGGCCACCAGCAGCCCCCGATGAAGAGCATGTTGGTGTCCTTCAGGTACTCCATGCACACCTGTGGGGAAGGAGGGGGTGTGTTAAATATATCAGTTTAATCAAGCCTATGTTTGAATGCATTGTATTTAACATGCTCTGCAGAGAGCTTTGCATCAGGCAGGAGGTTACACTCTAGGTAAATGCGGCAAGGAGAGGCTGGGTGAGCCTGCTGAGTGGTGGCGTCACAGCAAGAGATGGAACCACCAGCAGCAGCGGTGGCAGTGTTGAACAAGGAAGTTGTTTAGGAGCTCCCTCTGAGATCGGAGAGAGGATAGATCCTGGACTGAATTAAAGAAGACTGACCCCATTGCTAGTTTGTTTAGAGCAATGTGTTACTTTGCGTTTCTGTTTTGTAACTAGTTTAAGACTGTTTTGCAGTAAAACTTTTTGGAACTTTTTCTTGTGGTGGAGAGCACTCATTTCTACTCTGCACAAGGTCCAGATCAGGGATTCAATTTGCAGCGGGGGGGGCATTGACAGCCAGGAGAGGCTATAAGCCATGGGTAGGCAAACTAAGGCCAGGGGCCCGGATCTGGCCCAATCGCCTTCTACATCCGGCCCACACACAGTCTGGGAATCAGCGTGTTTTTACATGAGTAGAATGTGTCTTTTTATTTAAAATGCATCTCTGGGTTATTTGTGGGGCATAGGAATTCATTCATTCCCCCCCCCACAAAAAATAGTCTGCCCCCCCCCAAGGTCTGAAGGACAGTGGGCCGGCCCACCTGCTATAAGCCTCTCTCTTGCCCTTTTAGCGCTGAGCCAGAGTTTCCAGGCCACTTACTGATTAATAAAAATACTGAAATTTATATGCCACTTGATAATGAAGAAAACCAAACTAATCTCAAAATGGTTTCCAAAAAACAATAAGACAATAATATTACCCATAAGAAGAAGTAACAACAATAATTTAACACTTTCAAAAAGTGAAAAAACAGCAAACTAAAAACAGATTAAAAGTCACACCAGCTTTCTAAACTGAAGGTCTGATTTAAAGAGGAACAGAGGAAGCTGCCTTTACGCTTAATCACTGCAGTGGTCCATCCAGCTCAGTATTGTCCACTCGGACCGGCAGCAGCTCTCCAGGGTTGCTGGGAAGAGGTCTTCCCAGGCCCTCTGGAGACACTAGGGATTGTGCGTTATGCATGCAAAGCAGTTGTCCTGCCACAGAGCTACAGCTATTCTGAAAACAAATTAAGATTCTAGTCCTCTTGAAGGCCTAATTAAAATGAGGCTGACTGAGTCAGAACATTGGTTCATCTTGACTCAGTTTTGTGTCCCCTGACTGGCAGGGGTTTTAGGCAGATGTCCCTCCCAGTCTCAGCTGGGGACACCATTAGGGCTTGAACCCGGGCCCTCTGCATGCCAAGCAGACGCTCTCCCACTACGCTGCAGCCCCTGAGGGGTTATTGAGGGCCATGCTTTGTTCTCCCCTGGCCGGGACTGATGGGACTTGTGGTCCGGGTGCAAACAGAGGGCGCCAGGTCATGTCAGCCCTGCATGGCTGGCCAGTTGCAAAGCCGAGAGCCTCTTTGGTCCGGCCGTCTCCTTACCGTGGTGGAGTCCATGATGCCCATGAGCGGGAAGAGGATGACGGGCAGCAGAGCGGTGACGGCCAGCGGCAGGGCCTCTGTGCACCAGAAGAGCGCCATCAGGATGATGGTGTAGCCACATTGCGCTTCCTGCAAGGGAGAGGCAGAAGAAATGAGAAGGGCCATTTTGCATGAGCTCATTGCTGGAGGGGTTTGCAATAAACTCAGTAAAAAGGTAAAGGTAAAGGGACCCCTGACCGTTAGGTCCAGTCGTGTCCGACTCTGGGGTTGCGGCGCTCATCTCGCTTTAATGGCCGAGGGAGCCGGCGTACAGCTTCCGGGTCATGTGGCCAGCAGGACTAAGCCGCTTCTGGCAAACCAGAGCAGCGCACAGAAACGCCGTTTACCTTCCTGCCGGAGCAGTACCTATTTATCTACTTGCACTTTGACATGCTTTCGAACTGCTAGGTGGGCAGGAGCAGGGACCAAGCAATGGGAGCTCACCCCGTCGCGGGGATTCGAACCGCCGAGCTTGTGATTGGCAAGTCCTAGGCTCTGTGGTTTAACCCACAGCGCCACCAGCGTCCCTAATAAACTCAGTACATGCCATCTATAGGGGGCGGGGATGTAAGCTGCTTCAAGATTCTCAGAATTTAATCTTGACAGAAATGAGAAATGTTACCAAAGGAAGCAAGGTCCAAAATTAATGTTACTGGATATTTTGGGGGCACATTGTCAAAAGCAGTGCTTTTTTTTCTAAAAAAAGAAAAATGTTTAGCGTTTTCCTACTCATATTGAAATTCTGGCCCTCAATGAGGCCAAACTTAGATTCACAAAATGTTTAGCGGTATGCATACCCCTGTGTACCCCCCAGGAAAAAAAGCACTGGTCAAAAGAATTTGGTCTCATATATTGTCAGAGACTGCCTCCAGGTCCCAGCTCACAGAAGACCAACGCTAGCCAGCAGAACTGTACAAAGTCTTTATTGAAGTTTAGTTCCCATTTTCAAACCCTAGCGTGCGTCTCTACGTCTAGACCCTAGACCAGCGAAGCCTCGTCTGAGTCTCCGCCCCCTGT